AAAAGGCTGTGGCAGGGAAGGTGGATAGAGCTATCACAGGCCTCTGAACCAGTTGGGCAACTCTGACAGGTACACAAATTTCATTTTGGGGTTTAGCGTAGAGATGAAATTAATCTTAACTATATCTAACTTGACATATGAACAGAAGGGAATACTAGCCAATCTAAAATTGTTTTATGTGTTTTCCTCATTGTCAGTCTTTACCAATGTGGTGCCAAAAAGACTTTTTAAGACAAATGTTCAAACCATTAGTACTCTCTGAGCTCTGCTGCAGGTTTTCTGGGATTCTAATTTTTACTCTCCTATATTTCTGGTGTAATAAGAGACAGAGATTCATCAATATTTTAACATAAAAGATATAAGAAGGGAAAAAACCCAACCCTCTGATATTCATCATTAATTCTGATATGGAAAATGACTCACGGCAGACTGCATGTTGCATGCAGGCACAACCAAATACTCTATTTACTGTAGGTTCTGCTGCACTACTACAAAACCATAAACATTTTCGATAAAAAATCATGTAAAGTATTGAACATTGTTCTTAATCTTTTTTATTACTCCTCACTTCCATAGAAAAACTAACATATACTTTGGATTGGCTACATAATAAAACTATCAGTCAGGATCTTATGCTCCATAATACCAAAAATGTTTATTAGTAATGGTGGATCTGCAAGGATACAAAATAAAAAAGTAAACAAGAATTTCTATCAGCCTTTTGCTGAAGGTTGTTATTGAACATATACAAAAGTAATTTAAAAACAGTTAATAGTATCACAACTCAAAACTTAACAGTGATAACTCCAAGTGAACACTGAAATCAAGCAAATAACCAACAGGTTTACTTATTGTTGGTGAATTACAATACAGCTGAGTGGCTTTGTTCAGAAACACAAATTTCAAAATAATGTTTCTGATTTACCCAGTGCCAATTTTAAGCAAACAGGGAAAAAAGTAAACATACCAAATGACAATAATATGTGATCACTTTAAATATATTCAATGATAATGAGTTATTTTATCTTTGGAATTTTCAAGTATTCTTCAAAACGTTTTCAAATCGGATGCCAAGGTGATATTCACACTGCAGTAACAAGTGACTGCACAAAATACCAGACTTCCCAAAGAAGTCTTAGGGAATAATGTTTATCAAATGCATATAATTGGCATGGGCATAAGTGGCATAATGTAAGAGAATATGGACAAAAAATTCATATACGAGCAGCTGAGAAACAAGACTTTTCTGTGGCATTGTATGTAAAGCATACATAGACCTATTTTAAATTTCTACATACACACACACATTACAGGTTGTGTTTTGCAAATTTCCAATGAGCTTTAAACAATCCATCTAGGGAGTAAAATAAAATCTTGTTATTTTTTTTAATGCAAAGATGTCTAGCCTACCTTTTCGAACTCAATGTTGACAATAAATTGCTCTCGGGTCATTTCTCAAATTATCCAGTAAAGAATTGGGGATTTTTTTCTATAATTACGTATCTTATAGAATGTATACAAATTAATAGGCCGAGTTGAACAAATAAATACATTATTGTTATACAGGTTAAAAAACAAGATAGGTTACTGCTGTTCGTATAAGACTTGTTCCCTTGGGAAACACATGGACAATAAAATGAACCTCCAATGAAAGATGCAGGAAAAATGAAAAATGACTGCAGGAGTCCAAGAATCCCAGGAAAATTAGCCTGATTGCTAAGTTTATACTTTGGAAGCGATATCTAATAATTTGGAAAATATATTCTCTAAATAATCATACATTCCAAATTCTTATTATTTGGTATATTCTGTTCAATTAAATGCAAACTTAACAAATAAACATTGTAACTTGCAAGACTTCCCCAAACTAAATCTCTTAAGACAGTCAAAACTTGATAACAAATGTTTTTTATTCGACATTAGGAGGTAAATTTCCTTTCCTTATGAGACAAGTCGCTGTTCTTCCCCAACCTCTAGAAACCACAAAATATTCTTGGACTCCAGCTCCCAACATTCGTTACACATACGACCCGCAGTATCTACCTGCACTTGCCAGACTGTTACCAAAATTGAACGGAGTCGCCGAGGTAGTAGAAACACCGAAATTCCCAATATTAAAGTTCACTGCAGGATTAGCAGTTAATCCGAAACCCCCAAAATTAAACCCACCGGCGGTGGAGTTGGCAGTCTCAAGCCCACCAAATCCTGCTAGGTGTGTAGGCAAAGAAACAAAAATTGTAAAGGGGAGAGGGGGAAGAAGAAAGAAAAGAAAGCGAGATAAAGATTAGAAGAGTCTGCAGGAAGTTGCACAGGAGTGAACAATGACTAACCTTGACTACTCCAAACGAGTTAAGAAAGCGGAGGAGGTGGGAACAGGAGGCAGGAGCAGGAGCGTGAAGTCCCTTAGCGAGGACCAAAGGAGCCCAGGCGAAAGCTCCCGCGGCTCAGGGGCTGGGATCTAAGGAGCCGCAGGGCGGCACCCAGGGGTCCCCCCGCTTTATCCTCGCCTGGCCCAGCAGTGGGAGCCATGCGATCGTTCTCGCGGATCGTGGAGGCTAACACGGGGAGCGGAAGGCGGGTCTCCGCCAAGGCAACAGAGGAACCGCCTCCGGTCTGTCGGAGTCCGACTCCCCCTGCGGCGGGAAGCGAACCGCAGGAGGGCAGGGCCCTGCGGGGGCCCACGCTCAGTGTGCGAGCTCCAGGTTGGGCCTCGAGTCCCCCCGCGGGCTCTTCAGGAGCCGCCTTGGCCCACTCTGCCGCCGCCGCCGGCCCTTTTCCGAAGCCCTAGTCTCCGTGCCGGCAGGAGACCCCAGGACCCCCAAGCCTGAGTCACGGACCGAGGGTGCGGACCGGAGGCCTCCCCTCCTCCCCGGAAGAAGGCCTGGGGGGATCACTCACCCGCAGGGGCCGCGGTGGCTGCAGCGGTGCCCGAGGTGCCCGAGGGAGCCCCAAAGTTGAAGGCCATATCGAAGGAGCGGAGACCCAGAGGACCAAGACGCCGCTCCCGCGATACTGGGTGCCCTCCGATTTTTGATCCGGCGGGGAACCCGCCTCTGGATCCCGCAGTTCCGCCTCTTTTCTGGCCTCGTCTATGAGGCCGGAAGTCACGAAAGGCGTAGTGGGTGGAGGATGGAGAGGGAACGCCCAGGTCCGGTTAGTTTCCAGGGCTTTGTGGCTTCTTGAGGCGTTGAGCGTCACAACCAAGGTGAAAGCTGGGAAGCTTACAGTGACGTGCCACCCGAGAGCCCTTAAAAACTGCCTTAGGGAGGTTCCTTTGAAAAGGTGTGCAGAAGGCTGAATACGTGTTTATAATGAAGCCAGGGAGGAAAGAAAGCCAGATACTCATCCTGTATTGTGGGGCTATGGATAATGGAGTCAATGGATACTGCGAAAACTGAAAATTCACGAAGCATCGTGTCATGTCATGGGACTAAATTTTTTTTTTTAAGGCTAAAAATGGTGCCTCTGAGAATGATGTCTCTCTTNACTAAATTCTAGTTTTACATCTCCCCTTTATAGATGCCAATCATACCATTCCCCCCCCCCCGCTGACCCCCGTTAACACTTTCTACCCGTTATAAATTACATTCTAATCACACCTTCCCTCAGTCATATTCTTGTCACTTTCAGTCACACATACTATGTAAGAAATCAGTTAAATATTATAATTTCTGTATTTTTAAAATAAAAGTATAACTGTACCATGTTCAAAGAGTACTAAAAAATCCAAGCAATTGTTTTCTTGGTATTATTTTAATCCAAACATCATATTCTCTCTTAGACACACTCTTCAAGTGAAGATGAAAAGCATAATTAATACCTTAAATCGACAAAAGGGATTTTCTTGTGTGAAATCCACTGGTGGAATGTTATTGTTGAAATATCCTTTTCCTGTTCCCCAAAAGGCCTGCAAATTGATTCCATTTTGCCAAAATAGCATCTCTCTCATCTCCTAACAGCGTTGGAGCAGAAAGAGCACTTGCAGTATTTATCAGTTGGTTTGACTGGGCAGGAGCTTGTGTAGGTTGACTGAAGAGACCACCTAATGCTAAAAATATACCCCAAAATTAGTATTAAAAAAAAAATCAATTCAGATCCTAGGTGTGGTAGGCAGAATAGTACCCCCACAAAGATATCCACATCACAATCCCCAGAACCTATATGTTTATACAGGAAAAAGGGACTTTGCAGATGTGATTAAGAAATTAAGTTGGGATTATCCTGGATTATCACAGTGGGCTCAACATAATCATAAGGGTCCTTAAAAGGGAAAAGGGAGGTCAGAGTCAGAGTGAGATCTGAAGATGCTATGCAGGTGCCTTTGAAGATGGGAGAAGGGTCTACAAGCCAAGCAATGCAGACACTCTAGAAGGTAAAGGAATGGATTCTCCCCTAGAATATCAAGGAACACAGCCCTTGATGTTAACAGTGAAATCCATTTCTGGATTTCTAATCTCCAGAACTGTAACACATTTTTATTGTTTTAAGCCACTAAATTTGTAAAATTTTGGTATAGCAACAATAGGAAACTAATATACCAGGACAACACTTATAATGTTAAACTTGCTTTTCTAATATCATCTTAATACAATTAATTCCATTAACAGAACACAAATTGCTACAACTTCTCCGACAGAAAGAAAGGCAAAGTTGTTAGATCAGATCAATGTTTCCAAAGTGTGAGAGAAGTAAATACCCCTGGCACAAGATATTATTATAGCTGTCAAGCAACAGTTGAGCCACTAAATGGACTAAAGTCACATAACAAAAAATTCTTTTAAAAAAATTATCTGACTATACAAAAAAGAAGTCTCAGTCTGGTGCCAGTATGTCTTTAATGCTTCATGACACCTGCTTATCTCACTTTTTAACAAACAGAGAACAAGTCTAAGGCTCGAAGTTTAAGACAAAGATATCTGGCTAGAATTTATTAACACTATTTTATTTTCTTTGTACTTAGTTTTCTTCATAGCAAATGAAATTGGTTTTCCATTTATAGTAGTGGTATGATTTTTTCTTTTAAAATAAATGTATTTAATGTTTAAAAGTAAATTAATTTAAAGAAAATCCTTAAACAATAATACAAATGGTATGTAGATAAAAATCATGATGATAATACCAAAATGACCTGAGTTTTATTTTAGGGCACTATATTAGAGGATATTTAAGTTTTCTTTCAGCTCTAAAGATTGCAAGTGTCAAGGTCAACTGGGCTTCTAAAGGGCTGGAGAGGGGAGGGGCTCTTGTTACCCACCAAATGAATATTAATTCCCAAATGGGTACATATGAAAATTGCAGACAGCTGGACTAGAAGCCCGAAGACTTGAATCCTGGTTTATTAAAAGCTCACTTTGTAGCTCTGGCCAAAAAATTC